CGACACTTTTTGTTGCAGTGTATTGATATGAATGGATGTATCAAACATTCCAGCAACATACTGTATTTTAAATCTTGTGTCATTAAAACTCACATGTGTTTTATTATCAACAGTGGTGGGATATAATCAATTTTCAGTTACTTTACTTGAGTTTATTCTTGTGGAAATTTTTTACTTTTACCTCCTCCATCACTGGAGCTTATCGTACACAAAGGGATGAAAGAGACAAAATCGTTTAACTGATGTATCATTTATAGCGCTACACTAGGGCCAGAATGAATGCAGATGTCTCGAAGTTGTGGTCACAGTACTTCATCATCTTGCTAGTGATAATGAAGAGGACATTTTTATAATTTCAACTGAAATGTTTCTATCACCTTAACAAATATCAGCAAACATACAAACTGTTTGTGTGCAATCTGTCGCACAGTGTGTTGCTAGCTAAAAATACAGCTGCTATATTTCCCTGGGACAGAACGACACATAACTTTACCCAGAGATGGAGAGAGTCTGATATGAAGACAGCATAAATACTAAACAATTAGTAGGGGATGTAACATTTACTTACATATTGCTGCCTTCAGTTTATTCACAATGAGCAGTAAACCTCAGAGCAGCAGGAGCACAGGTTAGCTCATCACATTATGCACACAAAAAACTACTGGAGTTACCAACAGAAAATTATTACCTCAGCAAAGGAAGTTATGTTTTTGATAGTGTTTGCCTGTTGATGTGCATGTCATTACGCCTGTAAGCACAGCAGCTCAAAAAATCTTGAATTCTGATAAAAGGCTGAAGAGTGGTATGATGTTAGCAATGGCTTGCATCCACCAAGATCTTCAAGGTCAACTTAATGATTTATTGGTTGAAAATAAAAAAAAACCTTATAACTTGTGTGGTGTGTATTGTTACCTTATAGAAAGTATAAAGATTTAAAATATATCACAAGGTCAATAAATAGATCGATCTGAAGTTCACAGTGATATAGATATAAAAGATATCAAATGACAATAGGTTTGTAGACTGACAACAACAAGTGAGTTGCATTTAAAAGATTATAATCATTTAAATACATAACTTTGATACATATATGGTGTTCTATTAGTATTATTTTTTCAAACATTGAAATTAATGCTGCACATGGATTATAGCCACATAAACAATGATACTCAAAATAATGTGAAATATATTCAAAGGAGTTTCAACAGGACAAACACCTGCACTTTGAACTTGTTTTCACTGCATTACAAACTTCCTAAAATATGTTTAAAAGGTACAAATAAATCCTTCCCAGAGAGCGAGCCGCTTTGGTAGAGGTGTGTGCTTCCTTATTGCTTCTTATTGTGAGTTGTGTTTTCCTCACACGAAGCCACTACAACTGAAGATACAACAAACCTTGGGTACTCCCTCCTGCTGAATTCCAGTTTAACACTTGACTATAGTCATTTTGCTGTTTAGGCATAGAGGCAAAGTCATCCTCTACAAAGTAAGGCCGAGAAAATTGAGCTGTTGTTTTTTTAATTTTGCTTCACTGGTTGTGTCCTGCATAACAGATACAAGATGAGTACATTTTTTAAAAATTACAATTTAGATCGGAATAACATTTGTATTCTGATTTACTAATATTACTTTACTGATAATATATTATCCTAAAATGCAGGCTAGCTTTGTAAAAACAAATAAATAGCTGGTAGAAATGTCCTTTAAAGAGATACTTCTTACTTTCTTATTTAGAGTACTTTTAAGAGCCTGTACTATTCACTTTAACTTAACAGAGTATCTGAGTAAAGACTGTCTCTATTTTTGCCACTTTTGTGATGAGAAAATGAGAGTAAAATAATAATAATAACAAAAAGTAACAAAACTCCCACCCACACAGATACACACAGAAAAAAAGAACATGCCAAGATTGGCCTTGACTTTGCTTATCTGAGGCAGCACTGCTATTCATGCCCTAATTTGCTTACCCATAAGGAACAAAAATGAATTACTCTATGATTTCGATGCTCGCTCCCAAGGATATCCAAAAGTTATTTGTCACTGTATGAAGGAATACAAGAAATGGAAAAATAATAAGCTGGTTTAAAAAAGAGAAAGACGCCTAAAGTGATTTAGGATATTATAGCATGAAAAGGTAAGTTAAAGGTTGACACTTACCATGACTGTCACTATATACTGCATATATGTATATGCATATATACAGTGTCTGTGAGCTGAATGACAGTGGTAAAATGGAAAATGGAGATGCATACTTTTAAAAGTCAGAGCTACACTACTTTTCACCACTTTCAACATCAACATGTCTATCATGACTAACTGACTACATCAGTGCCTTCACAAGCACTTAAGGAAAGAACATCAGCAAGAAACCCCAAAAGCTCCCATAGGACTTTGTCCCACAAAAATGTTTTGGATAATGAGCTGCCTGCATAATTCATGACAGTGTGACAGGTTGTTTAGTTTCCAGTGGTTATGAAAACGAATCATAAACTAAATACAGCACATCGACTTATTATTCTAGGGGTTATTTCAAAATTAGTCTTGGAACATGGAAAATAATGTTGGATGGCGAGTGTAAATGGTTGTGATTCTATGTGTAAGGGTTAATGTTTAATACTGTATGTCTTAGATATAGCCTAATAGAGTACATCTAGAAGTTAACAACAACAGCTTTCATAGTGAGAGGCAGAATGTGCTTTCGAAAAGCAGCTATAGGTGTAATTTCAGGATGTGAAAATGGCACTTTCATAAAGTCACATTACACCTTAACCTAAATCGAACCCCTGTGCTGCAAAGTAAACAAAAGCTAAGCTCTTGCTCTCTCTGAAGTGTTCAATTTCCAACTAAAATTGTGCTTAACCCACCAAGATCTATTCATCATGCAGTAACAGTGGCACTTAAGTCAAGAAAAACAAAATGCACAAAGGAGATAATTGCTTTAAAATAATTGCTTTTCCTCTTGGCTAAATGGAAAGGCTGATCTTTCACGATTCAATTATAAATATTCAGAATCTGATCTGATCAGCATGTGGCAGAAATATGGCTGTAAACGGTTTTTGCTCTACAGAAATATCCTCTTTTTTTTTACCCCACATCACTGATTATAGCAGTATTTCAAAGTAAATGAAAAACCTGGGCTAATTAATCGAGAAGCATGCTCCCACTTCCGTCAAAATAAGCATGTGTACAATTGCCTTGGGATTTCTGTGCACCTGAGGCAATTTCATAAAGCCTGTGAAAAACAGATTTATGCAGCAATGTATAACATTTGTACTCTGTAATTACTCCAATTTAGAGTTTTTGTATTACAAAACAGTTACTTGAAAATTTGATATCAAAAACAAAACTGCAGAGATGGTTGAAAAAAATCCACCAGTTAGATAAAGTGAACATTTTCTGATGTTTATCAGGTTGTTTTTTTCCATTTATGGGTTGATTTCTGTGGTGCAGTGTTACCTGTGACACTTTCAGCATACAATATATGATACGGCTATAGGAGTTTGAGAAATGCTAGAGTGATCAGACACTTTTTTATAAGATTAAATGGCTTTTTACAATATTGATGTCATACACATGCAAAAGACAAAACAATTATTCAAATGTAAAGCTTCTGAAATTATATAATTAAAAAACAACCAAACAACAAAAACCTTCCTTTTGCAGTGAACTCTGCTGCATTAGCTAATTTTTTTAGTTGGCCATGATACCTTATCAGAGCAACTGAACTGCCACAACAAATTGAGTTTGTAGACCTGTTATCTATACACAGTAAAAATGAAAATAAGCTATTTTAATCTGAGTAAAGTTTTACAATTTAATCATTTAATTTAATAATTTATTAATAATTTTAATACATTTATAATTTAAAATGGCTCAAATAAAAACATTTACCACTGGCAACAAACATAATTTTGTCAGTCAAACAAACTTTCCTACATAGTTGCCCTGATATACTTTTTCAAAGCTGTGTGATAAAGACTTGTAAATTGTAGCCACCGAAGAATAGCTTTCCCTTGAGGGTTAGGGTTAAGGTTAGAATTAGCATCATGCATGTGTGCTTCCTTTCAAGTGTACATGTATGTATATGCACTTGCAAGCATCTGCACAGACAGCACGCTAACACAATGCTAGCCAAGAAGCCAGAGTGACGTTGTTAGTGAAACCTGAGCTGACGTACACATTTTCACCAGCCTAGCATGCTTTAACTACTTATCAGAGGTTCCACATTGGTGTCATATTATGAGATGATGGAACCAAAATGTGAACTGCAGACATTTTAGTTTCACAATCGTCAAAAGTCAAAAGCATAAGAACCCGGTGTGTGAAGTGACAAATGTTACTTCAAATGTTTTGAATGGCTAAGGGATCATGAATACTAAAGATGTGATATTTGATTTTATTTAAATTCATTTTGATAAGCAAATTGAAGCTCAGAAGGGGTTCAAATGTGTTCAAGAATTATCCATCCATCCATTCTCTCCCACTTATCCATTTCAGGGTGATGGTGCTGGAGCCTATCCCACCTACCTGTCCCACCCTCGACAGCTTGCCAGCCTGTGACAGGTAATCGAGAATTAATTCAACAGTACTATATAACTACATACTGTATGCTTAATTTAGGTGTGTCGTACTTGAACTGTACTTTACATGTTTAGATCATTTGAAAGAAGGAAGGGGATATTCCAAAGACAGCGAGTATAGCGGTACAGGCCAGGTACACAGAGAGACGGGGGAGCCGAATAGAAATGCAAGTGTTTTGGGAAAAAGTGAAGAAACAAGTGAAAATGTAAAATGAGTGCAGAATTGTTTCATCAGTCAACCAGGGGATTTGCAACAAAAGTACCTACGTGGATACTTCATGTCAAGTAAACCAAAACGTATCGGTCTGAAAAAAATGCTGTGGCTCCAAAGCATTCTTAATATCTTCCAGCTGTACATTTTTGGTAGTGCGCCCGGTTGTTTCAGTTGCTGGACACAACTTGTTATTGAGTCAGACTGACCTGATCTCCCCTGGATCTTCCGTAACCAACACGTCTGTCTTACAGCTGGCAATGGGGTTGATTGACAGTTCCACCGGTGGCACAACAAAGCTTTTGCTGACAGGCAGCCACAGCCCTTGGCCCAGACTGTAGAATGATCTGTGTTGGCATGATCACAAGACATAAATGCCAGTTGCATTACCATCACATAACCACAATTTGTTTTACACAAAAGCACACACTGTGTGCAAACACAGCAGTATTTGCAGATAGAAAAACATACAAAAGATTCTATGAAAACAACAATGAAACAATGAAACGACAATGAAAAACATATGTTTAAAATGTGAGATGTGTGGTGAGGGTCTCACATGTAGAATTTGAAGTATGTTTAATACGGATCATGGGCAATTTCTCAGTTATTTGCATCATTTATTATGTGATAGAATAGAAGAATAAAACATATAAAGATATTTGAACACATTAAAAAAACTCTTGTAATTTTCTTTTCCTTTTTTAAATAATTATTGTAAGAAGAAAGTTAACTATGAAGACTATGTGTGACTATATGCTATAGTCAAGTAAACCTTTTTAGTGAACAAGAAAATAAGTTCAAGCTTATAGCGATAATACTGTTTCAACACTGCTTAACATATTTTCTCCTCCTTCAATGTAAGTCCAGTTCATTGCTTATGAATGCAGTTTATATGACCTGGTCAGGGTGTTATGAATATAATCTGATTTTGCCAGAGACCTTTCTTATGAGTGAAGATTAATAGCCATAACAGGCAACCCTGCAGACATGTTTCCGGGGAAAACACAACATCAGATATGATAATAGCAGAGCACATTTTAGCTTTGCATAATGCACTCAAATGCATCTGGACAGGTACTGTAGGCCACAAAATCCCAGAAAAACAGGGCCTGTCAAGAAGGTTCGCATTATGTATTTGCTATCAATCTCTCGTTTTACTTCGCATAAAATATATTATTGAATTTCTTCATCATTCGCCACCATCTTTACTTTATTTAACTTTATTCCCAGTTAAATATTGCTGACTTACAACCCTTACAACCTGGCAAACATGAATGGGTACAAGGTCTGGGCGGCTGTAACTTAGGGTGTAGAGCAGGTCATCTACCAATTGGAAGATTGGTGGTTTGATCCCTGGCTGTTCCAGTTTGCATGCCAAAGTATCCTTTGGCATTGAAAAAAGGTGGTCTCTAATGTGTTCATCAGTGTGAACGTGTGTGAACGTGTGTGAACGTGTGTGAACGTGTGTGAACGTGTGTGAACGTGTGTGAACGTGTGTGAACGTGTGTGAACGTCAGACAGATTGCACTTTGGCACAGAACAAAAGTGCTCGTATTAATATGGGAAAATGAGGTAAATTGATTAAAGCGCTTTGAATGTTCCAGTAGAGTAGAAAAGCACTACATAAGAACCTGTCCATTTACTATTTCCATACTTTTCTTTCATTTGGATCATAGTTCCAAACATTAACATGGAAAACCATCAACTTGTACAAAACACAGCTGTCAATATATTGACTAAAATAACAAATTTCAGTTCTTAAAGACATTTGTTATGGGGCCCTCATGTCTTCATATCACAAGGTGCTTATTTTTTCATTGTTCCTTTTCAAGGAAAATGTAAGCAGCAAGCCTGGTTTCCTATAAAACTCCCCATCTGTGAAAGCACTTGGTTTAGCTCCTCTATTCACTGTCATAAGACTGTCCAGCTGAAGAGCATTAGAGTCTTTTCTCCTCCTCCCCAGAACAGCATTGCTAGAAAACTGCTTCATCTTTACTCACTTTGTTGACTATCTGTATCAGCATGTTCACGGCTGAATCTATTTGTGTTCTGCAGCTGTATGTGTATGTGGTGTCCTTCGTCTTTCTTCTCTCGCAGACTCTTGGCTGACACAGTGCTTAATCTATGAAAGTTTAGTTGCTGCTTTTGTGTGCTAGTGATGCCCGAGTCCTATCTCCAACTTGAAACAGGGTTTTGCTTGGTATTTTGCCTTTAGCGCCTCATTTCTTACAGTGGACTCACAGTGGCTGGCAAACGCTGCAAGGTCATTGAGATAAGGAGTGAGATAACTGTGACAAAGAGCTGTTCCTACCTACGTATTGGAAGGGTAGAGAGCATGAAATCGAGAAAGATTTCACAAAATCAAAACTTTAAACATTCCATGCTTTAGTTACACAGTTAAGCAAAACTAAAGGGAAAATTGACCACATTGACCAGCTTTTTCTTTTAAATCTCTATAATCAGGTTTACCCTGAGATTTTCATTTTTACACTTCTTGGGAAAAAAAAGAAATAACATAATGACACCATCAAGGATGAGAAGTGTAACAAAAATGCCAGTAAAAGTATTTTAAAGGAATCCAATCAGGCCTGGTCCTTGGGCTATTCTCTACACACTCAGAGAGATCCACCATGGGGTGTACTTGTGTGTCCATTTGCCTTTGTCTATGTGCATCTGTCAGGTGCTCATCTCCATGCTCTGTCACACTCATGCACACACATACAAGATGACACAAGAAATGCCACTTTCATTCCATTGTGTGTCCACAGAGTCCACAGATGGCCAGCACAAGTCAAGCGCTGAGGAGGTGCACCAGAAGGGTCTTACCTGAAGATTCTCTCCGGGGCCTGCTCTCCTGTAACTAGGTCATACCCTTTCTCCAAGTTAGCATATGGCCATGGACTTGACAGGGGAAAGACGATAAAGGAATGCATGATCAAAGACAGTGATTTATCAGCATTTTTAAAATAATCTAACAGATGTTTTTATGTAATTCCATCAAGTCTTCTCATTTATATTGTTGTTTTTCATGCACAAAGCCTTTTAGTTCAGCATTTTAAGTACGTCAAAGTGTATATAATATTATGTATAAAACATATCTGAATACAAAAACTGAAAAACTGTCATTTAATTAACATTTCTGTCTGCTGTACAAGACTATACTGTGTCTGCTGCTACTCTTAAAAAAAGAAAAAGCAATGGGCATTTGATTGGTTACTGGACTGAATCCAGGGGATGACAGGTGCTGGTGAGTAACAATGTGAGACCAATGATGGGTTAGGCCAGCTAAGTGTCAAACAAGGTCAGAGTCAGAGGGATCATTTCAGTGCCTGTCAAGCACTCTTCAGTGACTTTACTTCTTTCCCATTCATGCGTTTCATCTCAGCCCTCCACTCCTGTTTTTTTGTTTTTTTGTCAATAACGTCGCTTCTCATTTCTAATTTCTTCAACCTATACACCCGATTCCCTTTAAAAAGACTACTTCTTCAAGCCTGTATTGGTAGAAGTGCATGTTTTATCATATTAACTACAAACTGCTATTTTCCAAACCATGTAGGAAGCGTTCTAAGTTTCTTTTCATTTTAATACTGAGATGATCATCCTGCAGAGAACTGCAAATCCATCACAGTGAACAGCTCACCTTTATTTTAGATAAAGTTAATATAGTGCAATGATGTGGTTGTACTACCGGCTCTGAAGTCATGCGTAAGGTTGTAAAGTACAAGTGAATCTCTATATATTAGTGGAATAACTACACACAACACAACTTACCCTTCGTTGCGACTCCAGTCGCTGCGCACACAGAGATGCTTATGAACGGGATCAGGGGAATAACCCTCATGACAGCTACATTCTCCTGCCGTACAGAGAAAAACAAACATGCACAGTGGCAGATATTTATCTATCACCCTGATCTCTTCATTTATTAGAGATGTACCAAACTAAATGTTACATGATGTAAAACCTAATTCTTTTCAGGCAAATATTGTACCTAGATTTATTTCTGTCATGTTGATTGTGCAGTAATTGCCATATTCACTACTGTTTTACTTCCAGATTACAATTCAATACTTCAGTTGTATATATTTAACACCAGTTCATGCCTGTAGCCGTCTCAGGATGCTTTATACTGAAAGGAAAAGACTTTACACCATTAGAGAGAGAACATAATTAAAATATTCTTTATAATCAGTTTTCTATGTGAATGGCTTGGTTGTCAAGGGGAAAGTGAAGCTAGAAAAGAATAGCATATGGAGACAACCACAGCAACAACAACAAAAAAGACAACATATAAACAGCAGGAGAAATTCGACAATTAATGATATGTAATACTGTCATATCAATAATATTCAGGTATAAAAAGTGGGAACTAAAAGAGAAGCTCACAGTGGATGATCCCAAATCTCCAAGAGTGAGTTCAGGGTCACCTGATCTAGCCCTAACTATAGAAAAAGGGAACCAAAAGAAAGTTTAAAGCCTCATCTTCAATGGACAGAGGGCATCTGTCTCAGGACCCCTAGCTGTGAGCCAGCTGAACAGTAGAGGATTTATACATCGGGGAAACCAAACCACCTCTGGCTAAGCGGATGGCACAACACAGAAGAGCTACCTCGTCAGGCCAGGACTCTGCAGTCTATTTACACCTACAGGCCAGTGGACACTCTTTCAATAAGGAGGATGTACACATCCTGGACAGGGAGGAACGTTGGTTTGAGCGCAGAGTCAAGGAGGCCATTTACGTGAAAAGGGAAAGACCATCTCTGAATCGAGGAGGGGGCCTAAGGGTACATCTTTCGCCATCTTACAATGCTGTGGTTGCAGCCATTCCCCAACTCTCTCTGAATGGTACTCATGGCCATTGATCAGTGGTTTTTGATCAATGGTCATGAGAATTTGCATAATTAAGATTAAGGAACTGACCTCCCAGCCCATTGTTCCTTCAGTGGGCTGGTTTCAGTCATTATGCAAATGTACTGTTTATAAGATTGGGGAAACCTGCAGTCAGCTGAGACTGAAGAAGTCACTTGGATGAGTGACGAAACGTTTCTCCCACAAAACGCTACATCCAGATGAACAGAACCAACTTTTGGAGATTTACTTTCCTGGATGATTGAGCATGCATCAAGACATAATCTAAAATAAATTGATCATATTTAAAAATGAACCATTAATTTATCTGAGTTATCTGAACAGTCTTGTACAGATGCGGTTTGTAGACATGGTGATGCTGAGAGAGATCAATAGGAGCGAATGAGTTTAAATTAAAATTTGCAGTTTATAAAGCTGCTGTACTTGATGATGCCTTTGCGAGTATGAGTAAAACTTTATTTGTAAAGAAGTTAACAAAATCATTACCACAGAAAAGAACATACAAGGTTCAACAGAGCTATGGCTCTTTGTCAGAGTGGCTATGAACCTTGGGTCGTTTTTCTTTTCTTCTATCAATGATGAATAGTAGCTAGTATGAGCCTCACAGTGGGCATTTAAAAAAAATAAATTAATCAACTCTTTCCAGGCTAGGTGAATTTCCTATAAATTAGTGAAACGCCACTTCCTTTCCAGCTTGTGGGTTTTTAAATCGTTCCAATAACTCAAACTTGTCTGATATGTTGCTTTATTTTGCAGAGGCACCTTTGCATTATAACCATGGCACATTGTATTTTATCTATCACCCTCCATCCATCTATCCATCTCTCCATCCCTCCCTTGGTTGCATTAAGTAAATTATACAATATGACTGTTATCAGTGCATCTCCTTTCAAACAGCTGAAGTCTCAGTCAGCATTGAAAAGACAAAGCAGTAACATACATGTGATTAGTTACACATGCGCTGATCAGTGTCATGAATTCCACTGAGAATCTCACAACTGGCTTTCTGTTTTCTCCCAATATTAGGACAAATCTTTCATCATCCTCAACTAAGGCATTTTTATCCTGGCTTCTCTACAGCTGGTGGGACAGATTGCACTGCAGAACAAACAGAGACGTTCAGACAGGGCTACAGCAGCTTTTTGCTGGTGCATAGCAGTTTAGGATTTACATTTCTGATGCTGCTTTCCTTGAGTAGCACTGAAGTTTAAAACCCCTTATTTTCAATATTGAAATTTCCTCATCAGATCAGTCACAGTGGGTAATTAGTATTTCGATGTGATCTTTATGCTGCCTAGTATAATAAATAAAATAGAGGCAAGTGCATTTTAAGTGATTGTATACATTTGTGAGATTTTGCCAAGGATGGCTTCTATAACCGTTGCATTGAAGTGCTCCCAGAATAAGTGCTTTTTGTTGACCTGTACAGAGGGATAACCCTGGAAAAATGTGTAATGGCCACCCAGTCTAGGCCATTCAAATTTTATCACTTAACGTTTAATAATTCATTGGTTGATATTATAGTCTTGAGACTGACTCAAGGAGTGATGCACCATCAAGATTCTGTCAAAGAGTAGCTTTCAGTGTGGCCTTGCTAAATGAAAAACTAAAGCTCTTGAAATGGTTCCATTTTTTTAAAGTAGTAGTAAAATATCACAACATTCATCCAGCCATTTCATATAAAAGATCAATGAACAGCATAGAGTTTAATTAATCCAATCCAAGACTTTAGAGTGCTGTGAAAAAGTATTTACCCCTTCCTGATGTCTTATTTTTGCATATTTGTCACACTGAAATGTTTTGGATCACATAGGACCAAACCTATTTGGTCCTATGTGGTCCTCATGCAGTTATTAAAAGTGTTTAACCTCTTTTTTTTGGAAAGCTGAGTTAAATTTTACTAGTCACACACAACCAGACATGTTAAATCAAGAAATCACTGTCAGACAATGTGAAGTAGTCTAAAAGATCCCAAAAAGCAACATACTATACAACAAAGTCATTTATATCTATCACTTTGAAAAGAGTTACTAAGCCACTTCTAAGGCTTTATGACTAGCAACTGTCCACAAATGGAGAAAATCTGGAACAGTGTTTGCAGCCTGCTACTGCTAACATAAAACTCAGCATTTCATAAAAAGAACATCATATTAACTGTCAAAATGGTGGTGGTAGGGTGATGGTTTGGGGCTACTTTGCTGCTTCAGGACCTCGTTGACTTGCCGTAATAGAGAGAACCATGAATTCCTTCTTTGAGTTCTCTACCAGAAATTCCTGAAGGAGTATGTCCGCCCATCAGTTAATGGCCTAAGGCTCAATTACAATTGGGTTATACAGCAGGACACAGCAGCAAGTGTGACTGCAGTTCTTGCTACCAAGAGTGGCAAAACCACTTATTAGGTTTAGGGCTAAATTACTTTTTCCACATAGGTCAAGGTAGGTTTTGATGAGTTTTGGTGAATTAATTCATCTTTTCAAATCTGCATTTTATAATTAATTTTTTTTATATTTGTCTAACATTAAAGACTGTTTGATGATCTGAAACGTATGAAGAAAATTAGAAAAGGCAAAAATACTTTTTTATATCACTGTCTTTTTAATAACTTGTGATATTCCTTTCTGTCCAGATTGCCACATTCTTTAACTGCGGTCTTCCAACACAGCCTTTTTAAACAGGGATGTATTGGGAAAGAAATTCAGAAAACAATATGCTCTCATGCACAACCCAAACGGCAGGCGGATAAAGAGGATCAGTAAGGGACAGGCAGGCCTTTATGGACTTTTTGGCAGTAAACCAGCTAATCAGATTTTGTCCCAGTACACCTGATGGCCAGTGCGCCACTAGCTATGGACAAATACTGCTCACAAATGCAATTTTTGATTTTACACTTTTGGCAGGATTGTAGTCTTTATGAGCTGGTATATCAAAACACCATGGTTGGTTTTGTTACACTAAACTACATTAAAGTCAGGGAAATATTAAGGTTTGTGTTAAAATTACTACTCTGCCACTAAAGCTCATCGAATGTGGTCCTTCATTTTTGGCAAACAGATATCCTTTTCATGTTGCAAACACACACACACACACACACACACACACACACACACACACTTCACGTTCCCATTGCTAGTCTTCACATACATATTTAACCTAGTTATACTGCATTCCTTCAGACTGCCAGAGGCTGCGCTTAGAAAAATCAATCTTGTGCATAAGCAGTCACATCACATGTTACCACACATGTTGGTAAGGTACCCTTATTATTATATTCTTTTCTTTCTCCTTGAAGTCTGGTAGGAACTGGGAACATTTCCATTATTATGTTAGTGCCAGAGTAGCAACAGTGATGCAACCTGAATTATTTGTTTTGTTGCATATATCAGCAAAAATGCAATAGAAGCAAAACACCATCGATTTTAGAATCTGGTGTTGTTAAATACTGTAGTCCAGTTGTGTTTGTGTTTAGAAGATACCTCATTTTACTTTATTTCATTTTTACAAAATAGAAAACTACGTAATACTTAAATTGCTGGAGCTCTGTTGCTGAGTGAACTGGCTGAGTGTGTCTAGACTCTAGCCGCTAGCTGAACGCTTCACTTGCACTGTGTCATGTAATAGAGTTTAGGGCTTACATCACAGTTAGAATTTGGCCACATTTCCCACTGATGCCAACTCAATGGACTTTCTCTAAACAGATAAAAGCAACAACAACAAATATATCTACTCTTATAGTTAATTTTATATTGAAAGTGATATGATGTGATTCATATGAAGCAAGATGTCACAGATTTCTATAGTTAGATTTTTTTAACCACATATCCAGAGATTCAGAGAGAAATGGTCACACTGTTTTTAGTTCATGATTCTAAACTTTAATTATCCTACAGTCATTTTGGACAGTTTATTTGACATGGTCCTATCTTGCTCAAATTGTATAATCTTTCTGTTTCTACATCAGCATTCGTACTGAAGAAGAAATACAGCTG